TTTCTTTCTTTGTCTCTACATCTGTAGGTGTTCATCACATAGACATTATAATTGGTGGAGATTCCATGTTAGCCAGACTTCTGCGGAAAACCATTGGCGCATTCAACACCTCCTCCAATCTTGATGTGCAATCCAGTAACTTCCGTAGGTTATTTACTATTTGAGTTTCAATATTCTCACTGCAAGGATCTATATATTTTAGTTTAATTTTACATGAATACCTTTGGGAAAAAGAGACTGAACATTATTCATGGCAAAATCCAAACTCTGAGCAAGCTAAGAATAACTGCGCAGACACAGAAGCCCTATGCAGATGAAAGAGAAACAAAGATCTAGAAGAAAATAATCTCAATGCACCACAGCTGGAATAAATATACTTCAAATATGTTATTGCATCATGACCCAGATATCGATGTAATATTGTATTGCTAGGTCTCTCTGATCCTCAACATCATTCAAGGTCTCTCTATACCACCGCACTCTCAAACTGGTCTCAGTTTCTTTCAAAATGCCATTTCAAATATGTCAGGTTTCTTCCTAGCATCCTGAAAAAAATAAGAAGGAGAGAGTTCTCCAACTTCAGTATTAGACAGACTGTGAATGTACTCTGTGAGACACTGAATTCCTCATTGCTTGCTTCTACGGGTGACTGTTGGCAATGACTGATTCTCTTCTGAGACCAAGTGACGTCCTCAGTCTAGCCATCTATTTAATCTGATCAGAGTTAAACTCAAAGCTCTGATTGTGTCTGTGTGTCTCATCCAGATAGGTCTAAACTGATCTAGACCGGTCAGCACAGGGCAGTGCACATGCAGACGGCTGTATTATGTTTACTTGCCATGTAACTTGCCATGTTGGTCAGTAAGATTTTTTTTTAAATAAATTAATTGTTTATTCAGCAAAGATGCATTAGATTGATCACTGCTCTTTTGAACTCTCCATTCATCCAAGAATCCTGAAAAAATTAAACGACAAACTCCACAAAAAATATCAAGCAGCACAATAATAAATGTTTCTTGAATCTGCATATTAAAATGATTTCTGAAGGATCGTGTGACACTGAAGACTGGAGTAATGGCTGCTGAAAATTTAGCTTTGCCATCACAGGAATAAATTACATTTTCAAATATATTAAAATAGAAAACTATTATTTAAAATTGTAATAATATTTCACAATATTACTGTTTTACTGTATTTTTAATCAAATAAATGCAGCCTTTGTGTGCATAAGAAACTTCTTTCAGATACATTAAAAAAATCTTACCGACCACAAAGTTTTGAACTGTAGTGTCCTAGCTTGAATGTCTTCACATACAGACTTGATTCAAACTATTTTGTTTTTGTATACTGTATAATTTGAAGAATAGTCTTAAATTAATAGAATGTTCACCATCTAAAATCTATCCGAAAGTGACTGTCATTGTGATATTTACATACTGAATTGCAATAAGTATTTTTCTTGCACCTGTCTTTCTTGCACCTTCACTTTGCATAATTTTCCTTCTTCCTTGTGTGTGTGTTTATGTGTGTATAGAATGTTTGCCCCAGCCACATGCACTGAGCCAGTCAAACTACTTGTGGATCTTCATCCCCCTTTTACTGATGTGCCTCATGTGCTGCCTGCAGGTGTACACCAATCGTTTGCGCAGGGTCATCACCGCCTTCTACTTCCCAAAGGTACCATTTCCACTGACAGACTCCTATCTTTTGGTTAAACAGTCCTGTCCTGTTCAGCAACCCTACAGTGAAATCCATCCAAGGGGCCCAGCACCTTATGAATGACTGATTGTGCGGATGGACGGTTTGTTTGGATCGAGAGACAGAAGCTAGTACACCTGGCAGTATTTATCAATAACAATATTGGTCTGTCATAAATATCAGAAGCTCCTTATGCTTCCTTTGGCTAAGGAGCTTAAATGAGTCACTGTTCTGCATGTGCTGCTGCTTTCTAATGCTGATCACGTTTTGGATTACATAACCAGACAGATGCAGGAATAATAGCTGTTGGACTTGCAGTAATGTAATGTGTGCATGGCAGCTATCAAGCTAATGATCTGTTGATGAGTTCCTCATACAGTCTGAAGTATTTCTGTATTTTTTTTGTTATAGTATTGTCTATTTTCTAACAAAAATGCTTAATTTATTAAAGGAAATTTCATCCTAGTATCCTAAATCAGTTCTGGGATGAGGTCCCTGAGCTGTGTGTTTTCCTAAAGCATTCTTCTCATAATGCCGTTTGGAATAAAAAAATAATTGCCACCTTTCATAGTCAGTACATTTCACAAAACATTTCTCCCAGCAGGAGAATATTTATTATTGCTCAGGCTGTTATTTTGCCGTTGTACTCTTGGCAGAGGACGGCTTGAACAAATGCTAAAGGTCTCTCCTAGCATAACTGAAACAAACAAAAAGCACAATAACAGGCAAAATTACTTCCTCTGATGTCATTTTTTGTTTACATCCAGTACTCCTATTAAAATAAACTGTTCATTTTCATTTTGTTTTTTTATGTGAGATATGGTCCAGATTGCTTGTGTTTTAAAGTAGTGTAAGATAATAAGGTTACTGACAAAATAATAGAAACTTTGATGACTTGTCTTTGGGTTCTTGGCTCAGATCTGCAGAGCATGTGGCACTAGTCCATGGGTAGTAGAAGTAAATCTCTTATGCAATATAATCCTTTTGGTCATGATTGTAACTGATATCCTGATTCAGCAAGTTCAAAGTGTCTCAAACACAGCGTAGTGTAAGAGGAGGATACTTTCTCACACATAATGAGTGAAATATGTGTTCTAGTGTATGTGCGGGTAAAGTACTAATAAGATAAGAGGGTTTTAAAGTAATAGCATTAGATTTGCAGCACTCCGTGGGCCCGTGCCGGCATGAGGAGGATTACAGGCACCCTGTAAAGCCTGATTCAGCTAGTGGCACAAATGTTACCTCATTCATGAAGATGTGAACACTGGTGGTGTTTTTATTCCTGTAATCCTACAGGTGATCACTGTAGTGCTATATTCCTATAATGTGAAATGTTATCTTCAGTATTTTGATGGACGAGACCCATCTGATCTGTTTGTTTTTTTTTTCAGAGAGAAAAGAAACGGATCCTCTTCCTTTACAACCTACAGATCCAGAAACGTATCTCCTTCATCAAAAGACAACAACATCGCCTGAGAAATCAAAAACAGACATTTATAAAGGTGTGTGTGTGCTGCATCTGCACAGGGCCCTACAGAGAAAACAGAACTTTTTGTACATTTTCAGTTTACAACCTCTTTAGGATTTTCAATTCTTTTAATTTACTTAAATACTTAAAACATTGTACATTTGTAGAACAGAATTCATTTAGGTCATACATTTAGTGAATGAGACCAAGGCTGCATTCAAAATCACATACTTCTCCACTATATAGTAGGCAAAAAAACTTGTCCAAATTTAGAGTATTCATAAAACAGTAGGCAAAAAGTACTGGGATGACCTAATATTTCCGCCAAGATTCTGAAGTGCACATCCAATGGACACTTTACTATCCCCTGAGGCCATGGGACAGGATTTGTGAATGGCAGTGAAACTGAAGCTAGTAGGTCACATAACAAATATATTACATCTGGATTACATTCATAATAAAACATACTTTTTGAATGGTTGTGAAGTATTTATTCAAAAGAAGTGCCTACTCAGAGAGTATGCAATTTCGGATGCAGTCCGAGTTGGTTAGATTCGTTTGGAAAAACTTTGCCTGTTTTAAAGGGGTGCTATTATGCTTTTTCACTTTTTCAACTTTAGTTATTCTGTAATGTTGCTGTTTGAGCATAAAAAATCGAACAACCTAGTATGAGAGCCTGTTCTAGTACACCCCCAAAACAAAATCAAGACTTTGTAAAAGAGCATAATAGGACCCCTTTAAAAACTGCCAGCTATTTTGTGGGAGATCATCTATCTGACAAGCAAACAAAAACAATCAAACCATTCTCCAGTAGCCGCACCTCTCCAGCTGTAGCAGTGAATGCACAACAGTGGCCTTAGGGTTACATGCCAAGTAAAACACTCAGCAAATTTAACACTTTTGACTATTTAATAAATCCCAAAATATACATTTATGGTCCAATCTCATCTTCGAACTCTCCCTCTTCTCTACCAGGTGCTGTCGGCTGTGTTGGCCCCACTGAAGCGTGTGGGCTGTAGGCTGCGCTGGTGCTGGGTGTGTGATGGATTTGTGAGGCAGAAGCAGGCTGTGGAGTGCAGTTCTGTAGGCTGCACAATGATCTATTGTCAGCAATGCTGGACAGACCTGGACAACATCTGCTACACCTGCTTCCCTCATGACCAGTGTGGGCGGCAAGATAGCGGCTCTGAATCTGATGTGTACTATGGCGGCTTATGAACTTCAACTTCTGACATGCAACATTTTCACAGCTGCATAAATTTCTGATATTTTAAGTAAAAAAAAAAAAAAAAACTGTTTTGGAAGATAAATGCCTTTTTTTAGATTATTATATATTGTCTTTGCTAAGTGTACACAACTGAAATGGGTAAAAAAAAATCAAGTAGCCTATTCATCTCACGCAACCTTTAAAAAAAGTCATCTTTAAACCTTTTAAACAAAACACCTTTTTATGATATACTTTTGATAAATTAAGTCTTAAATAATTACATTAGGGTTCTTATGTTTTGTTCGTATTGATAATCGGAAAGTGCGCACTAGGCTACGTAGCGTAGCGTAGGCTACGTTGCTCTGGTTCACGATTTCTGTTTACCTTGCAATGAAACTTTCACGTCTAATTGTTTGAAAACTCATGATTGTATACAATGAATATATTTTCAGACCTTCCCAATATTGTTTTGACGTCCTGTAGTACCATAATAGTAGGCTACGCCCAGGATTTTTCTTTGCTATTCCAGCTGTTGGAAGAACCAAATGCGTATAATCACTCTGGCAAGGATTGGAACCGTACCGGACAGCAAAGAGTTAATGCGAAAGAGGAAATGCCATCTGGTTGGACACACTGAGAAATGCGATTATACTGCCTCAGTTTAACACTGGCGAGCGGACGGATTGCGCACTATGTGACCCTCCTCGTAGAGAAAGCTTATTCTACAAGGTGATCATTAAAGGCGATGCCTCTGTATCTCTAAGCGAAATAGAGCAGCCATTGTTATTGCTGGGACTGAACTGAGGTTTTCAGCAGGATGTGGGTTGCCCTGACAGAACCCACACTGGGCCGAGGACGCGTTCAGAACGGACTGCAGTTCTGCCTCCAGCAGCAGGTGAATGGCCAGGTGCGCCTTCACGTGTGACATCGTCTGACCGCGGGCCGTTTTAACGCGATACGCGTGACTGTTTTTAACAAGTGTACTGATTCGCTTCTCTACTTGAATTCAAAGAAGAGACCGCTCAATGCGTCACTGGACCATGAAGCACCATCATCAGTTGTTCAGGTGTTTTTGGCGAACTCTCGTCACTGTTCTTCTGTTTGAAGGCACCCCGCTCGTGATGTTCAGGGGGACCCTAACTCTGACCCTAAACAGGGATGACGGCAGCTTCACACGGATAACTCACTCCTTTCACAATGGTATGGGATGCTCTGCTTTGAATATTGCATAGAGTAATTGTTGCATCAAGGCAGTTAGGAATAATTATACATTTGCTTCTAAAGCTTAACATATAATGCTCTGTTTTGTTTGTAAAACAGTCAAACAAGAAGAAAAAACACTATTTATTGGCTGCAATGGCTCCTTGAAGAACCTTTAACATCCATAGTACCTTTTTATTGCACACAAGGTTCTTTAGATAATAGATGTAGATGTTCTTCAAACTAAGAAAAAAATGGTTATTTTAAGAACTGTTCACTAATATGTTACTTCCCTTACGAAAATTAACCATGGTTTTATTATATAGTAAAAGTGAAGTAACCATGTTTTTTTTGGTGTATTGACTACCATTTGTATAACCACAGTTTTACTACAAATACCATGGTTAAACTATGGTTAGTGTAGCAAAGCATGGTTAATATGTGGTTACAATGGTTTAACTACAGTGATATGGTTTTTTGGTTTTATTTGTAGTTAAAACCATGGTTAATTTTCGTGAGGGTTGGGGAACCCAAAATATTTCTTCTGTAGACCCACAAACACAAAGAAACACAGCGGACAGCTCAGCTATTTTAGTCTAGATAAGTAACAGGCTCTGTTCTTTAATAGTCTGCTTAGCAGACTATCGTTTACCCGCCTAATCACAGGCTCAGTGTTTGTAAAATGCTCAAACAGTATAATGTAGGACTGTTCATTCTTGAACATAATTGCTCTTCAATCTGGGCTGCTGGAAAGGAAGCTTATTCTATAAAAGCCATTACACAGCCAAAATGCTCGCTCGTTCCCTTTAGGATTTCCAGTTCTGACTTGTTTCCAAGTAAATTAAACAGTTTGTTGAGAATCCTAGAGCTATAATGTCATCTCTGCAAGTTTTGTCATTTTTGGCTGGTAGTTCCAGCTATTTGTTCGAGCCAGACCGACCAGATTGTATTTGGTGCTTCTGATCCAGTTTAGAGGCCCTGCAAACCAGTGCTGTACATGCATGCTCCAGCACAGCTGTCAGTCACAGACAAAACAACAGCTGCCCTCACAACACAGCTAGCCTTTATAGTGATTATTACTCACAAGTGTGTTCCTGTTAGGTGTATTGAGTGTGCATTTGAGCAAAACCGTTCTAACACTCTGAGATGAACATGCATTATTAGAGAAAAAAACAAAATTTAATCAACACAACTTTAATTCTTTGTAACTGATAGGTTGATAGTAAATAATGGAAGATAGAATCTTACAAACAGAAACAAAACTATGTGTCTGTGTTAGTTTCACCAAATTTGACATTCAGGGACATTTTTGGAAACATTAGCCAAAAAAATTACCGTTGATGATTACCCAAGTATTTGGGTTGCATTTACAAAAAAAAAACACGCTTTTCACAGTTGAACAGATTAACCCTTCTTTCATTCTGACCCATTTTCAGTAAGCAGTATGAAATAAATACCACAAAGGTTTTTTTTTCACAATAAAACCAAAGTTTCTTTCTTTCTTTTTCTTTCTTTCATAAAATTCTATATTTAATTATTTACATTACATGTTATGACATGGCATGCTATGACCTTTCACCCTACAATATGTTATGTAGCGCTTTATATATAAATTTACTACTAAAAAACTACTACAAGAAGTTTTTCTAAGCACAAGTTGTTCTGCATAAGTAGCGATGAATGGTTTTGTTGTATGCACAAATATTGCAGAGATTTGTTAGAGATTCATTTCTTGTTATAAAATACTTAAGATGCCAAAAGCATTTGAAATTAACCAGGGAAATGGGCACATTTTGTGTATGACAGTTCATAAGACAATAGGAAGTTTAAAAACTAGTTTTCTTTATCTCCTACAGTCACAAGTCATAGAAGAGAACTGAAGCCTCTGGCAAAGACAAGGCCATTTGCTTTTGTTAATGGACTTAGGAGAAGCCTGAGTGATGTTTTACAGGTGAGTTTTTGCACTGTCTAAGAACAGAAAAAAATTAATCACAGTAAAATAGCATGTTAAATTGAATGACATTCATGCGTATGTGGATAAAATTCCTTACTGGAACTAGTAATAAAAGTGTGTGTGTGTGGAATGGGGGAATTTAGCAGGACATGACTTCATAGTCAAGAGTTGCTCTCAGCTGCACAGGAAGTGTCCGTCCCCTTAATGTTACCTCTAGTTCCTCTCTTCTCAGAACATACTTTATGGCAGGAAGTTTCCAGCTGAATGTTTCAACACACCTACATTCTCCCTCCAGGACAGGACAGATACAGACACCAAACCCACCTCCCTCTCTTGACCTTTAAATAATTACTCATTCACTGTCTCATAATTTATTTGATTCTCTTTGTCACTTCTCTCAACAGTGTGAGATATACAAAATGCTCCCTGGGTTACAAGCTGATTCATTTATTTTGTCATACACAGCCCCTCTGTGCCTGGTTGAATCACAAAAACTGAGGCAACGATGGTCTGTTTTTAGCTTGTTTTGCCATGGAAAGGAAAGGCGTGTGATGGCTTGGGTGTGTGTGCGTTTTTATGTATGTATATATGTGTGTGTGTGTGTGTGTGTGCACCAATGAATACAGTCTGTTGATTATAAACTTGTCCTCAAGCCATCCACCACCCACTAACTGGAACTCAAATGATATTAATATGGCAATTAGAGAGAGTGTTTATCTCATCTAAAACCTGAAAATGGCTTATACAGCTTAAAGGGATTGTTCACCCAAAAATGAAGATTGTCATTGTCATGTCATTTTAAATCTACTTTGTTTTGAGACATCTTGTTTTGTCCATACAATGGACGTCAACTGTAAACAGAAGAAGAAAGAAAGCAATACAGGTTTGAAACAACACGAGGGTTAGTTAATGATGACAGAGTTTTCATTTTTGGGTGAACTATGTGGGCAGCCTTATAATGTGCAAATTGATTGACAGACACTGCCTCAAAGTGTTTTGATTGGCCAAACAAATGGAGTTACCGAGCACAGATGTAGTTTTCTGTCATGTAAATAAGGATATTTTCTGAGTGTCACTCCATAAGAAATCTCTTATGGCACCCTAATAGAGTTTAACTTGTGTAGTCGTATCCCACACAGTTTTATTTACTTCAACCACAATTAAATATAGTGGCTTCTAGGGCTAGCAATCAGATTCAATTAAAAAATTACAGATACAAAAAGATTCATGATGTTTAGTTCCATTTACATGCATTTTCCACCAATGTGGATGGAACACTCGGATGGTGTTCCCATGAATACAAAACATACATTGCTACCAGTGAAAACTGTTTCCTGAGTGAATGACTTTTATGAGCAAATCAAAAACATACCAGTGTGATGAATGGATCTTATGAGTAGGTTCTTTTTTGGAGAATAAAAAAATATATAGTGTAACCAGTGAAGTCTCTCTAGCTCTTATGAGATATTTCTTTTTAGTGACTCACCAACACTTTTGAATCTCTCATTTACTCAACCACGTCTTTAATTTCTCCACGTCCGACTGCATGAACCAAAAACTGATATTGTGGTTGTTAATATGATAATTTGTAGATATATATACACATTTGAATATTTGTCAGTGGTATTTTACAAAAAAAGAAGTGAATCTGTTAAATCTCAAAATGTTATTGCATTTATTATTGAACCAAATTCCAGAATTTATTAATAGTTGTAATAATAAAAGAATCAAACCAAACCCATATGAGAAGGGCTCATATGGGTCAAGGCTAAGGCGCAGGCAAACCATGAGTTCTGGTGCAGTTCTCCACCCAGCATTCATCAGCGGCTGAGGTCATCGCATGTGCACAGGGACATTACCTCAGACTGAAAAAAAGAGGCTTATAAAAAGGGGGAGAAATGGAGAGAGGGCGGAGCAGAAGGCAATAACAGAATAGAGGAAGAGAGAACGAGGAGAACAGATTGGCTGAGGCAGAGAAAAGAAAGAGAGAAGCAGTAATGAGTATTCAGGGATGGAGTGGTTAAAGGGATAGTTTATGTCATTATTTCCTTGCCCTCATGTCGCTCCAAACCGGTATGACTTTGTTTCTTTAAGAGAACACAAAAAAGCTTTTTTAATACAGTTAATGCCCATTTGGTACCTCAACAGTTTCAAAACCGTATTAAAAAAGGGGTTCATAAATTGTATTTTTCAAGTCTTTTGAGGTCATTAAGATATCCGGATGATTCTGAAGAATGTTGTAAACAGAAAAAATAAATATTGTGTAATGTGTTGCAGTCAAAGAAATCAGAGAGAAAAATTAGGTATGAAGGAATGGACTCTGAGACACTGAGGATGGAAGTGGCAGGCTTTTGGTAAAAGTTTGGAGTTTTAGATGCATAAATAAAGATCTCTGCTCTGTGAATGTGGGCTTCAGTTTTTGTGAACAGCCCAGAGGTTCGATCTTGGGAGAAAGTGCTTGTATGGGTGTGTTGTGCAGCTCAGTAAATGACTGCAGATGTGGCTTAGAGAGTGATGCTCTTGTGATGTCAGTCTCATGACCTTTTGGTGAACCTTTTTAGCAACTCTACAAGATCTTTAAGAGCATTTAAAGCTTTCGCAAGAGACTGGATGTGATCTGAGAGAGCTGTAGGAGGTCTGACAGCCATCCAGGATTTCAGCACAACCGTCTTGTACTTGAGACACGACATCAAAATTGACCCTGTTTACTTTGCTAATTCAGATCCCTGGTGCTTTTGCGCATTCATGTTATGTAAGGAAAATTTTGTCATTGTAACTTTTCATCAAAAAATAATAACTTGCTCCGCCTCTGAAACAACTGTCCTTTCCAGCTTTCCATGCAGGCAGGGAAAATAATGTTAGTAAACCAGTAACCCAAAAGCTATTTATGCATTGTTTTAAGCAACTGTTGTTGGTGATGCAGACTTTAAATACTTGCCAAATGTTAGTTTACATCAATGTAAGAAGGCCACTGTAATAATAACAAATAAAGTTAGATTTAAAAAAAAAGAAACTAACTAGGAAATTATTAGGATTAGGACTGGCTATCGATATATACATGTCCTGATATCCTGAATTCAGTTCATATTCACAACTTCTAGATTCACAAATTCCTGATTGAACAGGATTCTGATTCTTTTGAGTATTTCAGTCTGTGATGTTGTTATATTTTGCTTACGTATGAAAGAAATTCTCAGTTATTCCTATAAGTTATTAAAGAATCCTTTAACTTGGCATAAACACTATTTTTTTTCAAGACTAAACAGAATCTAGTTCAATTGCTGTTTATTTAATAGATGAGTTTGTGAGTGATTCTAAATGATTCATTAAAAAGGCCAGTTCAAACAAGTTATTTGTTCGTGAATCTGGCTATGTGGTTGCTCTGTATGTTTTTGATTCACTAAAATGAACCTGTTTATAAAAGTCATTTGTTTGTAATTTGGACTTCTGGTCAACACTCTACGTTGCACACTGCCACATGGACAACATGCAAGTTTCCTGCCATTATTTGGGGGAAACTTGGGTTAAAATGTGACTTCTTTTGCCAGGGCTGTAGATTTAATCTAGGTTGCACAGCCGCTGAAGATCAGTGCAGGAATACTAAATCAATAGGAATCTATTCACGAATATCATGGGTATCACAAAATCGATATTTTTTTACTCAGGCTATTTGAGCTACATCCAGATACTCTCGAGAGTGAACTTGACCTTCACCCACCACTTGCTTGGAAGTCTCCTAAAAAAGCATTTTTGGCAAAGTTTCCAAACTGGCTCTACTTTTACTATCACTTCTCATAATTTCTTTGATTCTTTTTTGGTTGTTTATTCTTTTCTGCTCTGTAATGTTTCATCTTTGATCTAATGTCTTCAGCATTTCATCTTAAAGTGTGTGTTTGTTACTGTATGATCACGTTTTGTTCTTCACATCTACAGATTCAGGATTGCCTTTAACGAAAGAGAGAATTTAGCCTGCTTGGACTTCCATAAAAAAGGCACACAGAACAAATGTAACCTTTCCTTTTAAAGTCAGTTTGCTGTGAGAGATGTCTAACTTACATCGACCAGCAGGGAAAGAGAGAGGCCGGTTAGAAGTCAGATAGACCTGCTTTTATTGGCTGAGAGGAGGAGGGGTCAATAAAGTAAGCTGTTTCCATTAGCACATTGGAGAAAAGCAGGAAACAGCAGCAGCCGGTATAACAGGAAGCTGAGTGGGGTTTCACTTTTTCATCAGGCTGCTGAATGTGTGTGCGACCCAATGGGATGTGATAGAACGGCAGGAAAAGGTGCTTAGAATAGGAAGTGAGATGAGAGAAAGGCTCAGAAAGAGTATGGAGGAGAGGACGTCTGTTTATAGCCCAGTTCACCCTCTAAAATCAAGCTATTTTATCCTCTTAGAGAACCCATCTTTTCCTCTGGCCATGTGCTGGTGCAGTGATTCCAAATCAGAGGTGTGTGTACAAGTTCAGGGTACTTGGAAAGATTTTCTTCCTGCTTTGTTAGATTTATACAGCAGATTAAATTCTAGATTAACTCATAATATTTAGAATCTTTCTGTTGACTTTTATAGCAAAATATATGTGCTACTGTGTCTGTTTTCCACTCACAGTACTCACTGTTATTTTTTAGTTCAGTAATAGTAATAAAATTACATTATACAAGTAATGTGATGATATGATTTAGCATTCATATTTATTACCATAATATTGATTAAAACGTTTAATATTTGTCAATAAAGGGATACTTAAGTCTCACTGGGTCAAAAGCGTTTCTATAAATTAAGAAGTGTAGGTTTAACACAAAATTTGTGATTTTTCTGCATGAAGAAAACATGATCTCGTATGTGCTGATACGAATAAAGACAGTTATTTGTAGCATTTTGCTGACGTGGAGCAGGAGTGCTCATAAATAGGCCTTGTTACATCTCTGTATAACAAATTCACTATTCAAATAATCTCTTTGTAACATGAAATCTGTCTCTCTCATTCTCTCCAGAATGGTCACCCTGACAGATTGCTGTGTGGTTTACAAGTGGGAAGCAGCTTGTATGTCTTGGAACTGGAGAAAAACCAGTAAGTCGTTTCCTGTGTGTATAAATCAGTATCTAATGAAGTTATATAAATCATCATATCTGAAAATTTGTCTGCTTGCAGAGATCTTTTGCCAAAGCCGCCTAACGTGTTCTACTATCTGCCAAATGGAACTGGGGTATCCATGAAGGAGAACCTAGTGGTGAGTTGAGTCCTTTGTACACTAGTGCACATTTATTTCACAGCGCTTTTTGGAATGTTGCAGTTCTTTATGCACCTTAACGTCAATTTGTTTCTGTGACAGACGCATTGTTACTATCATGGTTCAGTGCAAGGTTACCCTCAGTCCCGTGTGGTACTCAGCTCCTGCTCTGGGTTATGGTAATATTGCTTTACATTTTTCAAATCTTACCACATCCTGTGAGATATTTAACTGAATTATGGTCATTGCTAAACTTTCAAAAATTTTGTGACTTAGATTTCAGAGGTCATGGAGTTGTTACTTAGTCAGAAAGAACGTGCATTACCTTAATAATTAACACAGATTGTTTATGGGTTTGAGATCAGTTTTGTAATGTGATTATCAAATTATTACCCAAAATGATTTAGGAAGCACATACATTGCAGTTCACAAGTTTGGGGACGGTAAGAAGCCTCTTGTGCTCACCAAGTGATGGCAAAGCTGGATTTTCAGCAGCCACCATTACTCAAGTCTTTAGTGTCACATGATCCTTCAGAAATAATTCTAATATGCTGATTTGGTGCTAATGAAACATTTCCCATTATTATCAGTGTTGAAAACAGATATGCTGTATTTTTGTGGAATTTAGGATTTAAAATAGGTTTATAAGAACAGTATTTGAAATGGAAATCTTTTGTAACAATTTAAGTCTTTACCATTACTTTTAATTTAATAATGGATATACATTTACCATATGTTTGAATCAGATGTGTGTTAACATGATGTTCGGTCTGTGTTAGTAATGTTGATTCATGACACTTCTTTTTCTCTCCGCAGGGGAGTGATAGTCATTAACGCCACACTGAGCTTTGAGCTGCATCCTGAGGAAGAAAAGCATGAAAAAGAAGAGGAAGGGAGTGGAGAAATGGAAGAAGGATGGATGCATGTGATCTACCCGACACATCCGCAAACATCCGAGTCTAGAGATTGTGGAGTGTCACATACCTCTATTCCTCCCATTCAGATCACCCCACACACACACAGGGTGAGCAAGCTGTGTGTGTTTACTGTGTAGTGTATTTATAGGTATGTGCATTTGTTTGATTGTTGTCATGATCCTTTTCTGCTGTTGTGTGACAGAGTAAGAGAGACATTCTCTCAGAGATCAAATATATTGAGCTGGTGCTGGTGGCGGATCATAAAGAGGTAAGAGAGTAGAGAAATCTCTCTCTCACACTCACACACACAGAGCTGTGAGACATTTGCTTCCTCTACTGGTATATATACTGCATCACAGCTACTCTTAATTGCTTTACAGTCTAAATATCTGAATATTTAAGGTTGCAGTTTTGAGTTTGGCGTTTCTTCCTCACAGTATCTGAATTATCAGAAGAATAATAAAACCATAATCTACCGCATGTTGGATGTGGCAAACCAAGTAGACTGGGTAAGTTTTATTTTATATACTGATCAAAACTGAAAAAAAATATTTTTAAAAACATTTTTGAAAGAAGTCTACTAGGCTCACCAATGCTACATTTATTTGATCAAAAGTAACTTAAAAACAGTAATATTACTGAATTAAAAATATCAATGCTACATTTTTTTACATAATTCCAGTCTTTAGTGTCAAGTCTTAATCTTTTTTTCATACGTTCACCTTTTTATTTCAGTTAGTTGTCAAATCTACATTTCTAATATTTCAGCTGATATTTATATTGTATGAAAACAGTTGTTACTAGTTATAGTTTTAGTTAATAATAACAACACTGCTTGCCACTATACATATGCTGAAGTACATATACTTGTTTAAATCACTGGCTGTCTCTTTGTCTCAGTTCTACCGGCCGCTGAATGTACGTGTGGCTCTGCTGGGTTTGGAGATCTGGAGTGACCAGGACAAAATTAAAGTGGATAAAAATCCCACTGAAACTCTAAACCGCTTCCTGGATTGGAGGACCAGGGAGCTTCTACCACGACTACGGCATGACAATGCACAGCTCATCATGTAGGTCCAGATGCATTGTGGAAAATATAGGCACCAGTTGATCAGATTTAATATGGTAAATTATAATTTGCTTTTATATGTTAGGGGTGAATCATTTGATGGGACGACAGTCGGCATGGCATCTCAGTCCTCCATGTGCTCAAAGGATCGGTCAGGAGGAGTGAATGTGGTGAGAGAAATCTTTCGTTTAATTTTGGCCTTTATGCACTAAAAAGTCTTGTTTTAGTATTACCCCATGTTTCCTGTACTGTAGGATCACCTGGTGAGCGTGTTAGGTGTGGCGTCAACGGTGGCACATGAGTTGGGTCACAACCTGGGAATGAGTCACGATACAGCCGACAGGCGCTGCCAGTGCCAGAACGAGCCTCGGCTTGGGGGCTGCATCATGGAGCCCTCCACTGGGTGAGCGTTTGTGACTGTCTGATAATATAGTGCTGGTGATAAATCGTGCTGTACGCAGTAAATGCTCCCATGTGCAGGTTTATGCCCGGTCAGCTCTTCAGCAGGTGCAGTGAACGGGATCTCTCTCTCAGTCTACTGCATGGTGGTGGAATGTGTCTGTTTAACATGCCTCAGCCGGAGAGTCTTCTGGGAGGTCCACGCTGTGGAAACCTGTACGTGGAGAAAGGAGAGGAGTGTGACTGCGGCCTGCTGGATGTAAGAAAACGCTTGTTTGAAAAAAGTGACTGTAACAACTTCATAATTGGATAGTTCTCCTAAAAGGAATATTTACTCATTTACTTACCTTCATGTTTTTCCAAATCTGTATGACTTGCTTTCTTGTGTGGAACAAAATATGTTGAATTATTATTGTTTTAGGCTGATGATACACGGGCAACTTTATGAGCAATGTTGCCATCAACGGGCAACCAGGTGAGACACAGGGCCCACGACCAATCTAAATAGAAATTTGTTACCCATTCTAAATAGGAAAGTGCACAAGCAACCTTGTTAAAAAAAAAAAGTGCCTGGAAAAATTGCTCAAAAATTTGCCCCATGTATCATCAGCCTTAGAGAGGAAAGAAATATAGGTTTGGAATTACATGAAGATGTGTAAAAAAAAAAATCTGTTTTTTGGAGTTTGAACTATCCCTGATAGCAAACATTACAGGCACAAATAATAAATCATCAGTAGAGGTGGAGTAAAAATTGATTCACAAATGGATCATGATTCTATCTACCACCAATTTCGAAATGATTTACAAGATTCAAAAGTTGATTTTGTAAATATTAGTTAATAATGAAATGTTGGAACCAAAAAGGTGGAAGTCAACTGTGAGAGCAGTACATAATTTATTGTGCAGTGAGCTTACTGACTGAATGTAAGAATTTGACAAAACTAACGCATACATTTAATAAGGTTTTATTATATTTACTAAAAAATTGAGACTCTCATCGGACGAAACCATCCAGAAATGAAAGCCACAGAAAACACGAAGTACTTTATTCTCTGTGAATATCAGTCACATTTTTATCATCTTTCACTTTAAATATATTTGTTTAAGCATGGTGATTATAATAAATATTGTTTATAATGGTAATATAATTTATGTTTGCTAGATATTTTTAATTCATGTGTTATTCTAAATACTGTTGACTTTAAAGGATTTGTTGTGGAGTGAGGGAAACAAACTAAGATGTAGTCATATCGTTTTATAGTTAAAAATATAGTTTTTATAATGTTTCTAAACATTTTGTTTTATTTACAAGTATTTTACATTTATTTCTTAATATAATAAAATGTACACCGATGTGACTTATCTGTGTTTTTATTTCTCTCCACAATGCAATTTTGACCCACTGCGAGAAAATTCAGTAGTTTTACTATATCCAATCGAAATTCGATTCAAAATCGAGAATCGTGAGATTAAAGACAATTCCCTCCCCTAATCATCAGGGCTATTAAGAATTTGATGACAAACTCTCTGTCCGAACATGTCAGACTGTAGGATTGTAAAACAAATAAATGTAGTAATCCGCTCTTCACCTCTGTAATCTGCTTCCTGTTTGTGTGTGTGTGTGTGTGTGTGTGTGTGTGTGTGTGTTTAGGAATGTACTGACCCTTGCTGCAATGCCAGCACGTGTAAACTGGTTCCTGGGGCCCAGTGCTCTTCTGATGGCATCTGCTGTGAGAACTGCAAGGTTTGTAAAGGTGCATATGATTACACACTTTAACATGCGCAGGTAATGGCACTCTCTCACTGCATCCCAACCATATCTTTCCCAACAGCTGCGTGTGGCCGGGTCGGTTTGTCGGGAGCCGTTGGGAGATTGTGATTTGCCGGAGTACTGCACTGGCACTTCGCCCTACTGTCCTCCTAATGTGTTTCTGCAGAACGGAGAGTCATGCAAGGACGGGTCCTCGTACTGCTACAGCGGCGTGTGTGCCAGTCTGGACGAGCAGTGCCAAATGCTCTGGGGACCGAGTGAGTGTCACATGCTTCACAATGATGAATCTGATGATTCTCATCTAGAGTCTAGATTTATTGTGGTTGAATCTCTGTTCTCTCTGCCCCTCGAAGACTCCACCCATGCTCCACCGATCTGCTTCTCCTCTGTGAATAAGCAGGGTAATAAATACGGAAACTGTGGCCAGATGCCCAACGGTTCCTACATCCCCTGTTTGAAATGGTGAGGACATGTAGCCTAAAATCTGATCATTTTCAAGCACTGATATGATCATGATTGTTTCCTAAAATGTTTATTATCCAACTGTCTGTTTTGTGATTTATTTGCATATACTGTGGAAGCATAATTACAACAAAACTGTGCTGTAATGTTGTTTACGTCTAGTTACATTGGTCCTTGTGGAAATATGATTGTAATCTTTGTTTTTAATGTGCTCTGTTTTGCTTAGGGATGTGCACTGTGGTAGGATCCAGTGTCAGGGTGGAAATGAGCGTCCTCTGCTGGGCTCCAACGTTGAGATTCTGACCACAATGGTCAAACTGAACCAGAGTGACTTTACCTGCCGGGGTGCCTATTTTAATCTGGGTGATGATGTTTCAGACCCAGCCATGGTGTCACAGGGGACGGCCTGTGGCCCCAACAAGGTGAGTGTACATTAAGGCCATGTCCACACGTACACGGGTATTTTTATAAACGATAAAATTTTTCCTCCTTCCGTTTTAAAAAAAATCTCCGTCCACATGAAATGCAAATGCATGCTGTGAAGCACTGTCAAGAGCATGCCAAACCAACAGGTGGCGATATAATCTCAACTGTAAAGCCATGTTGGCCAATCAGAAGCCTGAAAATTCTCCAGTAGGCGGAGATAACAGCACAGGCGCCTACATCACAAGCCAAAAACTCCGGTTTCGCTGTCTACACAATAACACTGCAACCGTATGGAATGCCAACCTGCCATAATTAGAAATAAATAAAGAAATGTACAAAGAAATGTAAAAAAAAAGAGCAAATATAAATATATAAATAAATATACAAAGAAAAGTAAAAAAGCAAAAAGACATAATTATTTATCATTTTATTTCCTTATTCGTGTATTTTTTTTATTTTTTTTCCACATTTATTTATTTTTTCTTTTATTTATTTATACATTTATTTATTTCCACTTTTATTTATTTTCACATGTATTTATTTACGTTTTTATTTCTTTATTTATTTCTACATTTATTTATTTTTACATTTATTTATTTTCGCATTTATTTATTTCTACATTTATTTATTTCTACATTTCTGTGTCCGTAGGGTAATGAGAAGGGCGTGTTTTTCCTCAGGAATAGCAATTAGCCAGAGTAGGCGAGGGGTTAGCTTTGAGGCCACAGTGACACCTTGTGGTGCCCAAATGAAGTACAAGAAGTGTAGCCTACATGACGTGCCTGTTGATAGTGTAGGATGAATGATTTAGTTGGGCAATATGGCCAAAATCTTATTTAAATTTCACATGGGGGGTTGTTTAGGCTGGGAAGCGTGCAATCTGTGATCGCGTGCATTTGCTGAAGCTCCCGAAAGCGTGCTTTCTTATGCACGCTGTTTTTTAGGTTTCACTTTCAACGCATACAACGCATGTTTCAAAGATTCGGGATAGAAGGAGGCATCAGTTACTGTAGAAGATTTGTCGCCTCACGCCACTTCCCGTAATGGGTTCTCTTGGTGTAGACACGGCTTTAGATACGGATTAATCGGCTGATTAATCACACGTCTTAGGCTGGAAATATCCAGAATTAGATCAAACAAAAGTTGTGCATGGGAACGGAGCTAGTGAAACACACACGCCATGCATTATAGCGTAAAACATGTTTAATATTTGCGACTGACAACAACGATTCTATGCAGTGGAGATGCGTTCACTGTCAAATATCATTCAGCATTCATTTTGAAATTTTATGATTTCTCTCATTTTAAAGATTATCAAGAATAATTTTTTTCCAATCTGCAGTCTAATAAAAGTTAAGAAAATTAGCCTATAGATCTATAGCCTACAGGCTAATTTCATTCTTTCTTAACTTTAAACTCTTTTTAAAATTTGTTATGAAGAATTTTAAATCAACTTCATAACAAATAGGCTAGGCTAATGAATTTTCGTCATAAGCAACATACGAACATAACGAATACCCTAGCTATTCTATAAAACGAAATCTTCATAAAAAAATCATAAATCACGAATATGACGAAATAAAATTATATATATATATTTTTTTACGTCAAATGGATAAGGAAATTACAGTGCCTTGAATTCATTAAGTAGCCTAATGTTTTATTTCATTCTAACCTATAACTCGGGAAATGTAACGGGAAAAAAAGCCTATCGTTTTTACTTAAAACCAATTAATTTTAAGCTATGATTTTAGACGCATAAGATAATATATTATTTTAATTTGCAGTGTTAACTTATGAATTAAATGAAAAACAAGAAATACATCACAACAAGAACAACAGTTTTTTCTTGTAATCAATTACAAAATTTCAAAATGAATGCTGAATGATATTTGACAGTGAACGCATCTCCACTGCATAGAATCGTTGTTGTCAGTCGCAAATATTAAACATGTTCTAGGCTATAATGCATGGCGTGTGTGTTTCACTAGCTCCGTTCCCATGCACAACTTTTGTTTGATCTAATTCTGGATATTTCCAGCCTAAGACGTGTGATTAATCAGCCGATTAATCCGTATCTAAAGCCGTGTCTAGAGAACCCATTACGGGAAGTGGCGCGAGGCGACAAATCTTCTACAGTAGCCTAACTGATGCCTCCTTCTATCCTGAATCTTGGAAACATGCGTTGTATGCGTTGAAAGTGAAACCTAAAAAACAGCATGCATAAGAAAGCGATTGCAGGCTTTCGCAAGCTTCAGCAAATGCACTCGATCACAGATTGCACACTTCGCAGCCGAAACAAACCCCCACGTGAAATTTAAATAATAACCTGTCCTGTTGTATAAGATTTTGGCCATATTGCCCATCTAAATCATTCATCCCACACTATCAACGAGAGATCCTGAAACTGCAGCCTCCGGTTGTGCAGGAACATACTATTGCTATCAACAGGCACGTCATGTAGGCTACACTTCTTGTACTTCATTTGGGCACCACAAGGTGTCACTGTGGCTTCAAAGCTTACCCCTCGCCTACTCTGGCTCCATTGGTATTCCTGAGGTTAAAACACACCCTCCTCATTACCCTACAGACAAAGAAATGTGAAAATAAATAAATGTGGAAATAAATAAATAAATACGTAAATAAATACATAAATGTGAAAATAAATAAAAGTGGAAATAAATAAATGTATAAATAAATAAAAGAAAAAAAAATGTGGGGGGAAAAATACATAAATAAGGAAATAAAATTATAAATAATTATTTATTTTTGCTTTTTTACTTTTCTTTGTATATTTATTTATTTATATATTTATTTATTTATTTATATTTGCTTTTTTACATTTCTTTGTGCATTTATTTATTTATTTATAATTAAGTCAGCTTTGGCATTCCATACAACCGGAGTTTTTGAAAATCTTCACCCTGGCAGGCGTTTTCAAAAATGTTCGGTTTCAGTGAACTGGTGCTGCGTTTGCGTGTGGACGAATGGCCTAACTGCGTAGAAAAAGCTGCGGTTTTAAAAATAACCACGTTCGTGTGGACAGGGCCTAAGTGTGTCTTTTTAGGATTGCTAATTATGTAATACAGATATTCTACTGTACATTTAGTATCATTAATCATGTCATTACTGAATTCCATAATAAGAGATTTTCTTATTTATAGTCCTGGAATTTTTTTTAAACATATTTGAAATGTATTCAATTTATTGCATGTTTGATTTATTGTAACATTGTTTTGTCAGGCATGTGTAGACCAAAAGTGCCGGGACGTGTCCATGTTTGGTGTTGAGGAATGCCGCAGGAAGTGCACTGGCCACGGGGTGAGGAGGGGGAGGGACGGAGCGGACACTGCCACTTCAGAGAATTATAAACACTTTTTAAGTTTTTCAAATGCAGTTATTTTTCTCAGTTTTCTCTGTTTTGTGTCTTTGTTTGTGTAGGTATGTAACAGTAATAAGAACTGTCACTGTGATGAAGGCTGGGCTCCTCCTGACTGCAGATACTCTGGAACCGGTGGCAGTGTGGACAGCGGCCCTGCACGAGAGCCCAGAGGTACCACACACACACACTGATTCATTAGACATTTGGACTCAGTAAGTAACACATAATCACAATGATTACATTGGCGTGGTAGTGTTTAGCCTGGTTTTTGTTTGTATACAGATTCAGATCCTGCGCGGGTGGCTCTGCTGGTCATTTTCCTGTTTGTGTTACCGGTCTCGCTGCTGGTTGTCGCACTCCGCTTCCCCCGCTGTCGACGAGGCCTTGTGTACCTCGGCCACACCCCCTTCAACAAGAGCCGACAGAGCCGGTAAGACTGAGAAAAACACAGAATGAGGATAAAATAGGTTAAAAGATGATGCACTTTATTAAAGCAATTTATCTCACTTTACTTAGCCTGTGTAAAGCAGCAATGACAAATGACGTGAGAGATACTAATAAATAATTTATTTAAAAAATGCCATTTAAGCTTGCATTGACTTAAAATATGATGAGCATGTTTTTAACTTCTGAATTAAAATTATTTTTGGGAAAGACAAATCATAAATGTCCTGGTGAAACAACAGTCTGGACAACATAATAAAGGAAAAAAAGCTTTAAAAGGAATGAAATTAGTAAAAAGAAAACCTTATTTAGTAGTTTGGCAAAATCTTTTATTATGTAGAAATAATAATAAATGATTTAACATTTTAATAAATAAACTGCTTATTAATATTTAAAATTGTATCCAAGGTGTAAGTACTATTGAACTTTTTACTTGATGGTTACACCACATTAAATTTAAACTTTTATTAAAAATCGCATAAAAGTTTTTTAAAAACAAATGAAACCAAAATGACTGCAAAGAGTACATTTCTAAGAGTTTGAAACAAACATACTGTAAAAAAAAAAACACCGGTACCATAAAAATACAACAGCCAGACAGAAATTACAACCTTAGGTGTTAATGTCAGATAAAAGATCAAATCATTCATCACAGTCAAAGATCATATTATAAATCATTAATGATATTATTTTACTGTGTTTTACCCACGGTGCAGTTGGGTCTCGGTGGCCTATATTGAATACTGTGTGAAAGAGGAAAACCGGAGGTATCTCTGAATGTGGAGCTTCAGTTTGTGGTGCAAAACAAACCATGTGGTAGCAGTCGCTATTCTCGTATAGCTGAACATTTGTCTCTCACCAGCAGGGGCTTTGAATGACAATTAAAAAAAAAAAGAAAAGAAAAAACTCATTAAAATTGGCTTAGCATTGGCTGTCATTCACAAGCTCCTCTCTGGTTATGTGCATTGTAGTACTTCCAGCATAAGAGTTTCTTACATTTATTTTTTAAAACACCAGAGATCTGGTTCGATGAGAAAAAAATGTTTGTGTAGTTTTAAATGTTAAGTGTCTCCCTGCTAGCTGTCTTTCTCACACAGTTCTCCAGTTCCCTATTAAACAACAGTATGTGAAGTAGATTTGGATAGTGAGATGCTTGTTGTTCTGTAACATTAAATTCCCTCTGATATTATATTGGTATAAATGTAACGTTGTGTATGTAACGTTGACCAGCAACAAATAGTTCTCAACATATTTAATTTCTTTATGCTGAAAAAAAGTAACATTATTTTGAGGTTAATAATATTTTGAAGATATTGTATTTTCCCCACAGGACTCCTGCCATGGAGCTTGCAAATGCTCGAAATGGAGATCAGGTACAACCTCTCAGGTACCAGTGGCCCCACCAGAGCGACATCCCTCTCACCCAGGCTATCAGCAAGGTACAGTAAATCTGATCTAGAGAAAAACAGTGCTGCTCCAGAGCACCGCTCAGTGATACAATTACTGGAGAATGATCTTCTATAATGCGGTGTAGGGTTACTGAGAGTCTGTACAGAAATACAGAAATGAGCTCACAGTGAGGTCACCATGTCCATGACAAAGCAAGCTGGTGGTAGATTAGAGTTTGGGGTCTGTAAGATTTTCTTTTTTGTTGTTGAAAGAAGTGTCTTATGCTCACAAATGTTGCTTTTATTTGGTCAAAAATACAGTGAATATGGTGAAATTTTATTACAATTTAAAATAACTCTTGTGTATTTTAAAATGTATTGTATTCCTGTGATGGCAAAGCTGAATTTTCAGCATCTGGAACCGGCAATCTAGTTACTCCAGTCTTCAGTCTAATATGCTAATTTGGTGCTCATTAATCAGTTCTTATTATTATCAATGTTGAAAACAGTTGCAAAAGAATTGAATGAAAAGTTGAAAATAACAAACGTCTTTACTGTCACTTTTGATCAATTTTGATCCTCACTGAATAAACGTAATTTATTAAAAAAACTTACTGACCCCAAACTTTTGTACAGTTAATTATGTAATTCATCTATAAATCAAAAATGGAGTAAAATAAGTAAAAATGTTAAATAATACAAGTTAAATGATATTTTATATTATTGAATCTATTATATGAATCTAGTCTCATTTCGTTCGTTTCCCAAAGCTGTTTAATTGTTGCCAAAGGTAGAGATACTGAGATAACAAACTGGTATCATATCAAAGTGAACATTCTGGTAATGATCCAACCCTAGAATGTATCATGTGGTTCTCTGTAGTAGATTATTTATTTATTTTTATCAGTAAGTAGGACAGAGGCAAAATCCTAGTCATAGATGTCCTTTGAAAGGTGAATTAAGGCTACTGAGGGCTGATACACAGTCTTAGGGTTATAGAGGTCACAGTCCTTCTCATTCACCTGGATAACCAAATTGGTCTGGGTGACTTTAACATCGATCCGTGGAAAAATGACAAAAACTGTGCTTGATGCAGTAAAATTACAGCCAGTGTTTTTGTTTTCTGTATGTAATACATGCATTGCTCCTCTGTTGAACCTTCCCTGCATGAATACTGCATATGTTTCCACATAAACTTCTAAAATATCTGACTGTTACTGGACTTCACTGAGTCTCCTTCTGCTGCTGTAACAATACCAGCCAATGGCTTACTGTCATGCCTAAACCAGCTAACGTTCCTTATGGTAACATGCATGTGCAATAAAAGTTCACTCCCTCTCTACTACCCCCTCCGCAACACTTTTGTCTTATTATTAGGTCCAAAACAGGCCTGCTGCTCCAACTAAACCTCTTCCACCTGATCCTGTCGTTAAACCCGCTCAGGTAAATCTCATTGCTGCTCACAAAGCTTGTGAGGAACAGAGATGTATAGAGGTGTTCTGGTAGATGTAGTGTTGTGTGATATACACAAAAACCAATGCAGTTTTTATTGCTCTTTCTGGTTCTTCAGTTGGCGGGGCATTGGCCCGCTCCTCCCACCAAACCCCTCCCTCCTGACCCCATCCCCTCAGAGAGCAAGATGCAGTGCAAGGTAGAGGGAGCAGTTGCTGATAGCTGCCATGCCATGTATGACTGTGTCTGTTATTGTGTCTTGGCCCAAAGTGTCTACCTTTAGAAACTCACTTCATGTTTCTAGTTGTGGTCTGTGTCTCTGTGTGGTAAGATGATGGTGGTTTGTGCATGTGGATGGGAGTGAATGGAGTGAGATCAGACTGGGGGAGAGCAAGAGGTCATATGTAATCTGGAATATTTTTAAATAGCACCATAAAGAAAATGTTCTTTTGACATCTAATTCATCATAATGTGCACTTCCAGTTGTAAGTTAAGTTCAGTTGACTTGAATGCTTATGCTTAATAGCTTTACCTTAATTAGATTTGTAAACCAGTATTCATTAACAGATAACACACGCAATCACATATAGTAATTTTTATTAATTAATGTATAAAAGTGCAAAAATTAAATTAACTCACAACCCTAGTGGCTTGGAAAAAGGATGGATGGAAATTAGATTAAATTATTTAATTCATTTAAATAAAATATGAATAAAATGAAAACAAAATGAATTCAGTACAAAATTAAGTTAAAATTAATAAAATACAAATAAAAAAATGTAAAATACATTTTAAAAGTACATTTACATTTGAATTATACATTTCATTAAAATAAATTATATAATACATTTAAAATTAATAGATGTAAACATTTCAAAATTAAATTATTTCTGATTTATTTTAAAATGTTTTATAAAACCTAGTGCCCTTGTGTGATAAAGTGAAAAAGAGTTAATATATGCCAACACTAGAAGCAGTGACTTTAGTTATTTATGTGTATTTTAAAGTTTTTCATGCCTGAAGACTACATTTGTGCTCATTTTACCACTAGATACATATTATCACCTTCCACAATAAAATTTGAGCAGATAAAGAGTTGGATAACATCACTATTAATAATGACTAGTTTGTAAAAACTATTCTGTGATGCATTGTGCAGAAATACTTTATGTACTAAGCATTATATGAGAGTAGTTGATATCAAAACAACAGTGTTAACCTTACTTTAATAGTAACAGTACTTTAAAGTCCGCGTAAAATCAAAATTGACTATATTTATTTTGTTAGCGCACATTGCTATTTTTGTGGTGAACAATTCATCCGTGCAAGTCAATCCACAAAAAAAATTGGTTTGCCTTCGTAATGTTTAATCCAAATCTGAAAATGCTCCTCCCCTCTAAAATGACGGACCTTCTCTGATGACGTCAGTTTGACGGCTTGGGCATGAGCATGACATCCTTAACCACGCCCCTCCAACTGTCAGTGTTCATTTCCGAATGAAACGCCAACTTTACTACATCCAATCAGTTCGCAGTATAAAAAACAAGCCACACCCTCTATTTTCCTCATTCAATAGTATGTTTCTCTCGGAAGTACGTCACAATATGGAAGTAAAATCGGTCGCAAACTTCCGGTTCACGTGGACTATAACCTTAGTTCAAGCTTAGTACAGTGCTGGGAAAAAGTCTTTGCCCCCATGTGCATATATAGCATGTATTTTATCTCTCCCAGTCTCTCTGCAAGGTGAAAACAGTGATATTTGACCAGACTTTTGCATGGATGAATCAGAGGAATCAATTGTGCAGTGCATGGCCTATGATTCAGTCTGGTCTCGGACAAATGAATTTTCTGATCAAGGGAAAATCATGTTGGAATAGATTGATCCCCAATTATTTGAGTGAAACGGCACAATAATGCTGGGTACACCCCACAAGATAATCGAGCTGATTTTGGGCCGATTTCTCCCCTTCCGACAATCCTAGGTAATGTCCCGATTATCTTGGTGGTTCTAAAGATTATCTTAATCAGATTTTCCTGTGGTGTGAGGTGTGTTAAAGGCACAATATGTAATTTTCGTCTCTAGAGGGCGCTTATTCAAAATAAACAAAGAGACAAAGGCGTAGTTTGATGACGCCGTGACTGAGTGTGGAGTCATGGACTGAATCTGCTCGCAAGAACGTCGGAGGCACCCCGATCGCGAATCGTAAATATTCAACATGATCAGAAATCCTGATGTGTGGGGGGGAACCCCGAGGACACCACACACTATAGGAGCAAAACTGTTAAATCTAGGATTTTTGTCCTCATGTTTGTGGTCCCTCACATCTTGAAGATCTATTCAACATGATCAGAAATCCTGATGTGTGGGGGGGAACCCCGAGGACACCACACACTATAGGAGCAAAACTGTTAAATCTAGGATTTTTGTCCTCATGTTTGTGGTCTCTCACATCTTGAAGATCTTATAAGATTTTAAAAATCTTTTAGTGTGTACCCAGCATAAGATGGTCTCACCCAGCGCTTGCCTTTCTCTGTCACATGGCTGCATCTGCGACTGTACGTCCAGCCCACAGGAACACGACCGGCTGCACCAAGCAAGCCTCTCCCTCCTGACCCTGTCCTCTCTACCCGCCAGGTATCACCGCAGGCGTGTAAAGTGTAACTCTCTATTAACAATACTAATCAGCTCTTGTTCTGATACATCTGAGAGTATCTGTTTCTCTCAGTGCAGTCCTTTTGCTTTTATTTTGAACAGTGATGTATAGTAAATTGAATTTATGAGACAAAAAATAATGACCTCATCCTGTTTCAGAACCCTGTTCCCCCCAAACCTCCAGTTCCCAAGAAACCACTGCCTATGGATCCTTCATCCCACCCTCATCCACCCCCACTGCTGGGACATCCAGGACCAGCCACATCTTCATCATCTCACTCACGTAACCCTGCATCAGCTGCTGCTCCTGCCAGGTGAGAGGACAGATGTTTTTTTCTGTAATATTATGCGACAGACAAGAGATGAAATATTGTCTATGGAAAAGTGTAATCCGATAAAATCTTATTTCTATGTACAGACCTGCCCCTCATCCGCCTTTACGGAGACAGCAGTACCCTGGGAAACCCCACGCTCCTCACCAAGTATAGTCAGGAAGGAAGCACTGGCCCAGCCGCAAATTTATGGACTACACTTTTTTTTTTGTCTTGTTTAATGGTAAAAAAATAATTGTGTCATTAAAACAAGATAAATTTTAGAAGAAAAATTGCATAACATATTAAGACTTATTTTTAGAGAATATATTATGAATATATAGGGTATAATACTGTATACCCTATATATTTATATATATATATATATATATAATAGGGTAAGAAATAGGGTGAGATATGCAGTTTACCTTCTCGTGTAAATGTATTTCAAGGACTTTTATGGCTTCTTATTTTTACTGGGAAACGAGACAAAAACCAGTGATCAAGAAAAAGATTTTTTGCCATTTGGACCCACTGTGGGACACTATGTGATGTTGACTTGCACAATTCTATTTGCACTGACCATGAGTGAGGATTTGATTCTGCAGGGTGAACATTAACACCTGTACAGACCTCTGTTGCTCTGCAGCTGGGTCAGAACTTCAACTTACAACTCATTTTGAGGCTCACTGGGCTATCTGAGAAATTACAGACTCTAATGAAGATGAAAGAATGTTATAATTCTGAGGAACTTGACAAAAAATACACACTTTTCAAAGTTGACATGAAGTGGATGTACATTCCTTTTGTGATTCAGATGCTCAGTTCAACGCATGGAAATAGGATATGACGAGATGATGCCTTGAGGAAGGAAGGAGTCCTGATTTCTTTCTCTGAGATGCTGTATGCATGCTCAGTTTGCCTGATCTGATCTTTACCTACAGAATCTCTTTGGTGCCTAAATACTTTGCCACACAACATTTCATCAATGATTGTTCTAATACAGTCGCACCAAAACTGAATTTCCGAACTCTTTGTTTCTAGAACTGTAAATTCTGTCCGGTGTCTTACATTCCATTGAACATCAGCTGGTCTCAGTACAGACATTAGCACTGGACACAAACACACATTCTCTGTAAAGTCTTTACTGTAAAGTAATGTCTTATATCGGTATCAAGACAATTCATATTGTGATTGTAAATGCTGCTGCAGGGGAAAAGCTGGCTGATTGGAAGAGCGCCTTTTCGATCAAAAGACTGAGGAAGGTATATTTAAGTGTGTTTTTGACATATGCAGTATTTTTAATGCAATAAACACGGGATTTATTTTTACAGTTGATTCATGCATGCAGTTTTGATTGTCTTATTTTTCCAGATTCATATTTTATTTATTTAGCTTTATCACACAAGTTACGACCGTATAAACATTTGCTAACAAGCAGCATTAAGACGTAAAATCACAGAGGGATGTGACATCATCCTTTTATGGTGGTGAGTGGGCCATATAAAGTTAATGATTGTGATGATAATAGATTGATGCTCCTCAGTGTGTTTAAGGTCACTGTATTAAAAATATGAAATAAGAGGAAGCAGGTATAGGCAGAATAACAGACATTAAATAGAGTAAAATCTATCATTTCAGAATAATACTGTATATGCTAAAATCCCATATCAATATGTCATCAGGTACAAGTTCCATTACGCATTGTGACAACCTTAAATGGTGAAAAACATCAGTCTCGTTATGGACAAGTTTCATAATGAGATAAGCTGCTGTGTAATGTCACCTTTGTCACTATTGACTTTTATTGCATGTTATGTAACCAGAGCATTTGATACTGTGTTCACACCTACAACTTGCATAAACTATAACTTCCAAAAATTAAGGCCTTAAAAATTCAAACATCTCAGATTTAACATTTAAAAATCTTAAATTCTTAGAGTCAGGACTTAAAATGTTGTATACCTAATATTGTATACCTTTTCCATTTAAATATCAGTTACTTGATCAGTTACGAAAACATGTTTTTCCTTTGAATTGAGCTTTTTTGTATGACATTGGCAGATATTTGTTCTTGCTTTAATCATAAATTCATGATCAATTTCTCAGAAAACAAGACTAAAGTTATTTCCAAAACAGAAATAAAGATCTTTTGGAAGTTGTATTTTTAAACCTTTAAGTGTTGCTAATACAACTCATTGTGTGCTTCCTAGACATTTAGAGAACATATTGACAAGTTGTGTTCGCTTTAATTTATTAATAGTCTTAAAAAGTTATTTAAATAAGTCTTCAATTTCCCTTCAAAAAACCTGCAGAAACTCTGTATAAGTGATCAGAAAAGTGCTAACAGAATACATTCTGTGTTTTTTGTCTTGCACTGAAAAAAATAAATACATTTGTTAGCAGTCTATTAACCGGTATAGGATGTTACATTCTGAGCTAACCAGACCCAGTTTCTCATCTCTGACTAAGAGGGGAATTTGAAATTGCTACTCAGACTTTTTCAGTCAGGTTTCTCTAACCACACAAAACAGGTTTTAGTTTGTCTGTTTCCTGTTTTCAGTGACTTAACCATGTACCCATGACCAATCTAGAAAGTCATCCTTCTAAATCCACTATTCTTATAAGACATTTAAAACAGACATTTTTTAATAAAAAATAAACAAAATAAAACAACTTCTTGCTCAACAGATGTTTAGTGAAGGAAGGTGAAATTAATTGAATTATTAACTTACTAAATTGTAGAACAAAGTAAATAACTTCATAAATAAAATTAAATTACATGTGTGATGTGTAAAATAATGTGTCACTGTAACAAGGTTTTGGAGGCTATATTTAAATATGTTCATTTTTGGTGATTAAAAATGTGATTACATTTTTAAATAGATAATATAATGTATTAGATATTAGTTAGATCATGTGAAAGTAACGACATTATGATTTTTAATTGTCATTGCATGATCGAGAAGATCAAGACCTCT